ACAATTTTACTCATAGAACACCTTACGCCTGAGAAACTGTCGAATATGTTGAAAAAATAATTTAAAGCAATGGACATAAGCCAATTATCCTGGATTTTTCCAGTTTTTACCCATTATTTGCCATTTTAACAATTTTAAAAAATTATTTCCTGTATTTAGGACCCTCTAAAATATAGAATAACACATTGAAAAAATAATATAATGCAAAATAAGCGGAAGGAAAAAAAAGAAATTTTTTTGAAAAGTTGCTCAGATTTTGCTTCACATTTCTGAGAGTTCCCATTCGCGAACTTTTTTCGTACTGTAAGAATGTTCTTTTAGTTTAAGCAACGGATGAGCTAGTTGCTCAACTTCACCAGCCTGACCATTTAGTTTAAAATTATAGAACTCGTGTAACAGAAATAGAAGGTCGGAAACGGCGTAATCAAAATACACGAAATGCGAATTCGACAATAAAATTTAAATATTTGTTTCTTTTAATAAGCTTCGATAAATAAGATTCTAATTTTATAAGACTATGAAGAATGGACCTCGTTGAAGAAATCCCTAGTATCTTAGGAATTCCTTTAAAGAACATTAAGCAGTATGCTTTTGATGAAGCTATATGCTTGGTTAGTTTTATTTCCACCCACAAAATGTTAAAAATAGTCGCGGAACTAATTTAAACATTTTGTGGTATACCATGCATATTGTATTTTCTACTGCAAGTCACATTTTTATATCTCATTCGCAAATATAGTAATGTTTAATATTGTGAAGTATGAATACTCAAACCAACTCTTAGATTCTATGTTAAGTAGGTTTTGTAATTCTGTATACGGCTTTAATAATTCAAATTTAGTTATTTTAAAAAAGAAATGTAAAAAAATTGAACTTTCTGTTGTTATATTAAATTGTATTTTGTTTAAATTCAAATACGTTTATGAAATTATTGCTGAACAATTTATTTGGCTATTTTTAGTAACATCCATTTCATTGAGTTTTTTTTTCAATTTATTTCGATTTTATTAATTTTTTTTCAATGTCCTGGACGAGATAAGTTTTTTTTCTGTAAATATCCCTAACTATTACAAATCCAAAATTTCTTGACAATCTGGAAAAAAAACTTGTTTACTATATTTTCCCTTTTTCTCAAGAAAAACCCTCTTTCAGATTGCCATTTGATTTTTGAGCCCACATTGTATGGTGAAAGTTTCTTTGTTTTGGTAAATTCTTTTACCCTTTATAGTTGAAACCATCAGTTTTGTCTCACCTTGTATAGTACTTGCAGCTATGTAATTGATTAACTTGTTCTCGGTCAAAAATGTTTGCGACAAAAATTTATTCAGCTAACTTTATTTTTGTTGTAAGAGACAAATTTTCGATTTTTTAAAACCAAGTTTTATTTGCTAAGTTGAAAAACGAAGTTTATGATTTTTGTGAAGTATGACAAATTTATTGATATAATTTGCCAATAATACTCACTTTTTTGATGATGCTACTGAAATTAAACATAGTTTTTTAGTTTTTAAAAATTTTCTTTAAAATATGTTTTATAAAAAAAAATTTTGATAATCAGATTTTCAACATTGAATTACTGTGTTTCATAGAATCTACCTCTCTTTTTTTAGTAATTTATTAAATAGCACACTCCTGTATTTTTCACATTTTGTAATAATTATGAAGCAACAATTCTGTGAATTCTGTTTTTTATTTAATTACTTAAATCGGGTTGGAAGATTCGACTAAATAATAACAGGTGGATAACCGAAATCCCTTTGAATGTAGTTCATAAAGAAAGGACAGTAGAAAAAAGTGAATTTTTATTTCTGTCTAAAAAGAACCTTTTAAAGAACATTTTCTTTTCTATTGTTTTTTATTGTGAACACACTTTTTTGTTAGATTCAGGTAAAAGATACAAAAATTATTTTAAAAAATTATGCCTGAAAAATGAGATAAAAGCACATAAATTGCTAGTTTTGATGTAATAAATGTGTTGTTAATGTGTTGAGTTATATATTTAGATTATTTTATGAGTAAAATAGTAAGTGTGCTTATTACAGTTTAGGAAATTTTAAATGTTGATTTACTGGCCTCTCGGTACAGATTCATTAAGAATTGTATCATTAAGGAATTAATCTTCTCTATTATAGGATTATAGAAAAATTATATGATCATAGTCATTGCCTGTTTACAGACACGGTCCACTGCAATAAAGTTTCTCATTCATACTTTTTATTCTTTCACAGGAATGGACACCATATCAATATATACCAGAATTTTTTTACGATCCTCAGAAAGCTCTCGTGTATCTGAACGACTTCATCACTGGATTGATTCAACTTTTGGTTGTAAAGTATGTATTCTTAATATTTCTCTTTTAAACAAATGGATTTGTTTTTTGTTTATTGAAAATCGTATTAATTTTCTGTACTGTGATTTTTAAGTAGCTTTTAGACTTATCATCATCCATACAGATCAGTTTTTCAGGTAAAAATTAAAATAAATAATGTGAGAGTACTAATTTTAACCACAAATCATTTTTTTACAATTGTTTGTAACTAATTTTTTCAAAAAAAAAAGCAAAAAAAATTATATAGGAAAAAAGATTTAACTTCATTAAAGTAGAGATAAAATTTGTATTGATATTATAGCCTTTTTGTAACCAATAAAGAAAATGTAAAAATTTTTACTAATTTTTTTCAATGTAATTTTTAAAAGCATTCTAGAATAATTTTCAACCATGACTTCAAAAAATGTTCTATTGTTAGATTATTAGTTTTAAAATCGTAACCTACATATCCTTACATACTGTTGCAGGAAATCTGGTCTTGTACGCACTAACAACTCAAACAGTGAAAATGATACAAACTTAATTAAGACTTGGAAACTTTGATTTGTGTAAGTTTTTTATGTGATCAGCATTTGGTTAACTTATTATATTACTTATTACATTACTTTTTGCGTTTGATGAACAGATTACGTTACTTTTTTTGAAAAATTCATTTTTTTTAATATTAAAATATCATTTTAAACAGTATTTTTAGTATGAGTTTTAATCTTTTTCTTTAAACAGCACAATCTTATGAAATAAGAGACTTAAGCTTTTTTGAAAATGTTTATTTTTTAAGCTCATTTTTCATTGGTAAAGTAAAAAAAAAAAGAAGAAAAAAAAAACATAATATTGCTTAGATGTATCATAATTGTTATTTCTTATTAAATTGCTCTATGGTGCAAATGATGAAGGAAGTTACTCTTAATAATAAAACTATTGACACCTTAATTCCCGAATGTTGTATGTTTGTAAGGAAATGAAAGAAGGTAACAAATATTTCCTTTTAAGATTAAAAAAAAATGAAGTTAAAAGAAATAATGTATACATTCACTAAATATTTCATGACGATATTATTTTAGAAAACATAGAAGGGAAGGGAAGAATTAAATTCCCCAAAATAGATTGACTCAGTGCAGTAATTTTGTGTTGTTGTTGCTGGCCCACACGGTTAGCGGAGCTAAACCAAGTCCATGACTCCAGAGACTCTCAGCAAGTCTGTAACAAAAAGTGGATCTGAAAAGAGGTCCACTTTAGAGATATTTAGGCATTGAAGTATATGTTCAGGAGTAGCTTGTTGGTCGTTACACTTAGTGCAAACAGGGAAAACTCTTGAACCATTACTGAACAACATAGTTCTTAGGTGACCGCTTCGAAATCTTGATATAACCGTCTGATCCCGCCTGCTGCACTGAAGGGTCAGGCTGCCACCTGGGCGGTTGCACTGATACCAATGATGAACAGGAGGGGCCACAGGATGCAGTAATATTGTAAAATAATATAATACCTAATATAGTAATATTATACAAATGACCAAACTGTTGTTATTCTTAATGTGCAGAAATTCTAAAAAAAAGGAGGGAGTGTAGTAAACTAAGGAAGTAATCAACTTGTATAACCTCATTCTTGTGAATTGCATGTATTTTTTTTTTATTTGGGAACCTATTTTCATTTTTTTAAATTATAAAATAGATTTTTCGTATCATTATTTAAACAATTTTTTCCATTCCGCGACACATTTACTGAAAAATTAGTTAGTGTGCTTTTATTTTTAGTACTAAAGCGTTCAAAACAAATCTTTATGAAGAAAAGAAATTTTTAAATAACTTTTGGTAATAGCAAAATATGGATTGAGCTAATTTTCATGTAAATTTAGGTCTATATAGTTTTAAAGTTACCTTGAAAGTGAGCTTTAAATGGATCACTCAGCCTGATTGCCTTGAGGTTTTATAAACAGTCAATTAGCACTACTTTATTTAGAAGCCCAGCATAGACACAATCTTGGAATTTCCAGATAATTGGTTTTTAACTATAGCAGTAAATATTAAAAACAATGTATTCTTGTTTTGGTTTTATTGACATTTAAACTAGAACTCCCTTTTGTAAACGAAGTTTTAGACCATGTTCTTAAATGTATTGCAAATCATTATAAAATACATCTGACCTGTGCACAGTGCTGACCACATTGCTGCAACCACGTTGTTGGTCTTAAAAATTTGAAATTAAGACATGTTTATTATATTTAAAAGTGCTATTAATTCATGAAAAAGAATTGTAAAAACTTCTAATTACAATTTTAAAATAAATATTTTCTGATATCTCTTTACTTCTTGAATGTTAAGATATTAATTTTTTTCAAGCGCTGCTATCTTGAAACCACTGCATATTGTTTTCCGCAGTGTTATTTGCCTTAATTAAATCTGTGAAATGAAAATAATTTAAAATTTTCTGGTGGAAACTTAACAAAAATACTTTCAAAATGGCAGTATGAATGTTTGGTTTAAAATATTGACATCTAATTGTGTACCAAAATAAAATGTTACAGGTGTCTGACATAAAAGAGAGTGGTGATGAGGAAGGGCAAGTCCACCTTTTTTTTAAAAAAATTTAGGTTATATAAATAAACATTTCAATTTAAAGTAATACATTTTTAAATTGTTATTCTTTAATTACTATTTAATTAACTTTCAAAAATTTTGACATAATAAACATATTGATTGACATGATGTAAAATGTTACTTAAGACAATTTCAAATAATAATTTTATAAAAAGTATTTTTGTCTTGAGAATAAATATGTTCAATTGCTCTGAGCATGTTGGCTTTTTATCAATTTCAATAATAAAGAAAATGAAAATATTGTTTTAAAAAGTATTTTTTGCAATAGTTTTCTGGAAATTATTTATCAAATACAGTGAGCTTATTTGTGTTCAAAACTAATGCAAAAAAATAAACGAAACATCCTGAATTACTTTAGATGTAATGACTGGATTTTACATACTAAAACTCAATCCTTTTGCAATGGGAGAAGTTCAAATCTACTTGTATTTCAAATCCTATGGAGATGCAATGCTATCCTGTGCCTGAAATTATAGCTTTTAAAAAATTCCAAAACACTATCAAAAATATTTATTGTTTTATTTAATGTCAAATGGCCAATTATAGTCCTCAAATAATTAATATCTGAAAAAAATATATTCTTTCTTTTTTCTGTGGACATTTGATAGAGAAAAATTAATGTTTTCATATTTGTTTGTAACCGCTAAATAAAAAAGCTTTCATAATTAGAAGTGTCTGCTTATTACATCTAACCGTAACTGAAACTTGTGATTTGTTTTCCTTTCGAATTCAAAAAATTTTTAGAATGTCCTTAATGCTCTTAAAAATTGCATTTTAACAATTTTTAAATAATAACTAATAAATTCTGGTAAGCTCTAATAATACACGTTTTAATTTGAAATCAAAATAAGTAATTTTGGGTTTAATTTTCTTTTGCAGTTTTTTAATTTCTATATTTTCTCTTAATTTCAAGTTTTCATTTAAAACTATTTGTAATATAGCATGCTGTCATATAAAATATTGTTTTATTTTTAAAAAATATTGAAACATGCACTCAATTTCAAAATATAATTTTTATTTATCATTTTTATAGAATATAAAGTTTCATACTAAAACATTTAAGAAAAATTATTTGTTCAACTATTTTTATTGTGTTTCTTTTCCAATTTATTTTTTGAAATTATTTATTTTTCCACTTCTATTGTCGCATTTTTTGAGGGGTGATAATGAACTTTTGAAGAAGAAGCTAAGCGGGAGATAAAGTTAATAGTTATATGCTTGAGGATAAAATTTACAAATTTCTGCTCTTTTTCTTGTGAAACAGCTATAATATGCAATTACTCAAATATATCCATAACTAAAAATTGTAAGCTTTTTATTCANCGGGAGATAAAGTTAATAGTTATATGCTTGAGGATAAAATGTAAAAATTTCTGCTCTTTTCTTATGAAACAGCTATAATATACAATTACTCAAATATATCCATAACTAAAAATTGTAAGCTTTTTATTCAACAACTAAAAATGCAGCAAATTTTAATCAGGGAAAAATAAACATTTGGTAAATAGAGGTTTGTTAATCAGTGTTCAACTGTAACTACTTGAATGTCCTGGATAGTTTGTAATAAAATTAGCCTTATTAATTACATTTTACTTTGAATCATTATCTTGTTCTTAACTCTTTATTGATTATATCTAGTGTCTTTATTGAAGTTTATGAAAAAAACCAAGTATGGTGTACAAAGGGGAGATTTCTGTATTGTGATCTGTGGCAGAATAATTGCCAAGTTTTGGTAACTTCCAGGCAGAGGGCCAGTGAGAACCTAAAAAAAAAATTACAGAAAGGAATCAACTCAAAAGGTATAACTCGCAGCCAACCCCGGGCACACTTTTACATGTTTTTTTCTTAAAAATTTGCAANCCAAGTTTTGGTAACTTCCAGGCAGAGGGCCAGTGAGAACCTAAAAAAAAAATTACAGAAAGGAATCAACTCAAAAGGTATAACTCGCAGCCAACCCCGGGCACACTTTTACATGTTTTTTTCTTAAAAATTAGCAAGTTTAAAATCCATTTGGCAATTGTAGTTGGCGGGACAAATCCCGATACGTAAATATCCCTTGTACAAAATGCTTTTTAACATCTTGTTATAAAGTTTTTTCATTTATGTTTAAAGTTTTATTTTTATTCTTTAAACTAATCCTTCCTTTTCATGCATATTTTTTGTTGTCTAATATAGATAAATATGGGATTAATATTGCTGACTAGATTCAACATATTGAAGTTTTGCTATTCTGGAAAATTTAAACATGCCATGCAATTCAAGTTAGTATTGATAATATATTCAATAAAGGAAAAAAATATATATATATATATATTCAATAGTATTAAGTATTGTTGTATATTTATAAATTAATTTGATACATAAAATTATTATTAAATTAATTTTGTTCATAGTTGTTTATAAAGGTTCATTTATAATTATTATGTTAATATTTATTGTGATATGGAAGGTTTAGCTTGCTTACAGGATAATGATATGTTGAAAAAGAGCTGTGCAGTCGGTTATTGAGATATTCAGGGATGAGATTTTTCCGCTTTTTAGCGGATTTCTGCTTTTGCCACTTTTATCTCTTGAATTTCAGCTTTTTTTTCCTGCTTCCAAGTTGAGTCTTTTTCCTCCTGCTTCTAAGTTGTGTTGAGTTGTTTCTCTCCTGCTGCCAAGTTGAGTTGAGTTGTTAGTCTCCTGCTGCTGAGTTGAGTTGTTTCTCTCCTGTTGATGAGTTGAGTTGTTTCTCTCCTGCTGCCAAGATTAGTTGAGTTGTTTGCCTCTAGTTGCGGAGCTGAGTTGAGTTGTTTGTCTCCTGCTGCTGAGTTGAGTTGTTTCTATCCTGTTGCTGAGTTGAGTTGTTTGCTTCCTGTTGCTGAGTTGAGTTGAGTTGCTTTACTCCTGCATAAAAGTTAAATTGAGCTGTTTGCCTCAAGTTGCTAAGTTGAGTTGTTTGCCTCCTGTTGCTCGGTTGAGTTATTTTAATCCTGCTGCCAAGTTGAGTTGAGTTGTTTGCCTCCTGCTTCTAAGCTGAGTTGAGTTGTTTCTCTCCTGCTGCAAAGTTGAGTTGTTTCTCTCCTGCTGCTGAGTTGGGTTGTTTGCCTGCTGTCGAAAGTTGTTTCTCTCCTGCTGCCAAGTTGAGTTGTTTGCCTCCTGTTGGTGAGTTAAATTGAGTTGTTTGCCTCCTGCTGCTCAGTTGAGTTGTTTGTGTCCTGCTGCGAAGTAGAGTTGAGTTGTTTGTTTCCTGTTGCAGAGTTGAGCTGTTTATCTTCTGCTGCCAAGTTCAGTTGAGTTGTTTGCGTCCTGTTGCTGAGTTGAGTTGAGTTGTTTCTATCCTGTTGTTGAGTTGAGTTGCTTTCCTCCTGGTGCTGAAATAAGTTGTTTGCCTCCTGCTTCTAAGGTGTGTTGAGTCGTTTATCACCTGCTGCCAAGTTGAGTTGAGTTGTTTGACTCCTGTTGCTCAGTTGAGTTAAGCTGTTTCTATCCTATTGTTGTTTAGTTGAGCTGTTTCTATCCTGTTGTTGTTTAGTTGAGTTGTTTGCCTCCATTTGCTGAGTTGAGTTGTTTCTCTCCGGCAGCAAAGTTGAGTTGTTTGTCTCCTGTTGCTCAGTTGAGTTGTCTTCATCCTGCTGCTGAGTTGAGTTGTTTGCCTCCTGTTGCTGAGTTGAGTTGTTTCTATCCTGTTGCTGAGTTGAGTTGTTTGCCTCTTGTTGGTGAGTTGAGTTGTTTTTATCCTGCTGCCAAGTTGAGTTTTGTTCCTCCTGCTTCAAAGTTGTGTTGAGTTGTTTCTCTCCTGCTGCCAAGCTGAGTTTAGTTGAGTTGTTAGCTTCCTGCTGCTGAGTTGAGTTGTTTGTCTCCTGCTGAGTTGAGTTGTTTGCTTCCTGTTGCTCAGTTGAGTTGAGTAGTTTATCTTCTGCTGCCAAGTTCAGTTGAGTTGTTTGCCTCTTGTAGCTGAGTTGAGTTTAGTTGTTTCGATCCTGTTGTTGGGTTGAGTTGTTTTCCTCCTGGAGCTGAGAGGAGTTGTTTTCATCCTGTTTAGTTGAGTTGTTTGCCTCCTGCTTTTAAGTTGTTTTAAATTATTTATCTCCTGTTGATAAGTTAAGTTGAGTTGTTTGCCTCCTGATCCGGAGTTTAGTTGTTTCTCTCCTGCTGTTGATTTGCTTCCCTCCTGTTGCTCGGTTGAGTTGTTTGCATCCTGCCGCCCAGTTGAGTTTAGTTTTTTGCCTCCTGTTGCTGAATTGAGTTGTTTCTCTCCTGCTGCCAAGTTTAGTTGAGTTGTTTGCCTCTAGTTGCCGAGCTGAGTTGAGTTGTTTGCTTCCTGTTAGTGAGTTGAGTTGAGTTGCTTCACTCCTGCATAAAAGTTAAATTGAGCTGTTTGTCTCAAGTTGCTAAGTTGAGTTGAGTTGTTTCTCTCTTGCTGCCAACTTGACTTGAGTTATTTTCTTCCTGTTGTTGAGTTGAGTTGTTTGCCTTCTGCTGCTGAGTTAAGTTGTTTGCCTCCTGCTTCTAAGCTGTGTTGAGTCGTTTATCTCCTGCCAAGTTCAGTTGAATTGTTAAAAATTGCCTCCTGTTTCTCAGTTGAGTTGTTTTTATAACTGTTGTTACTATAACTGTTGTTGAGTTGTTTCTCTCCTTCTGCTGAGTTTAGTTCTTTGCCTCCTGCTAATGAGTGGAGTTCAGTTGTTTGTCTCTTGCTACTGAGTTGAATTGTTTCTCTCCTGCTGCTGAGTTGAGTTGTTTTCATCCTGCTGCCAAGTTGAGTTGAGTTGCTTGTTTCCTGTTGCAGAGTTGAAATGTTTATCTTCTGCTGACAAGTTCAGTAGAGTTGTTTGCGTCCTGTTGCTTAGTTGAGTTGAGTTGTTTCTTTCCTGTTGTTGAGTTGAGTTGTTTTCCTCCTGGTGCTGAAATAAGTTGCTTGCCTCCTGCTTCTAAGCTGTGTTGAGTTGTTTATCTCCTGCTGCCAAGTTGAGTTGAGTTGTTTGACTCCTGTTGCTCAGTTGAGTTAAGCTGTTTCTATCCTGTTGTTGTTTAGTTGAGTTGTTTGCCTAGGGTTGCTGAGTTGAGTTGTTTCTCTCCTGCAGCAAAGTTGAGTTGTCTGTCTCCTGTTGCTCAGTTGAGTTGTTTCTATCCTGTTGCTGAGTTGAGTTGTTTCTATCCTGTTGCTAAGTTGAGTTGTTTGCTTCCTGTTGGTGAGTTGAGTTGCTTCACTCCTGCTTAAAAGTTGAGTTGAGCTGTTTGCCTCAAGTTGCTGAGTTGAGTTGAGTTGTTTCTCTCTTGCTGCCTAGTTGACTTGAGTTGTTTGCCTCCTGCTGCAAAGTTGAGTTGAGTTGTTTGTCTCCTGCCGCCGAGTAGAGCTGAATTGTTTGTCTTCTGCTGCTGAGTTGAGTTGTTTGTTTCCTGTTGCAGAGTTGAGTTGTTTTCCTCCTCGTGCTGAGTTAAAATGTTTGCCTCTTGCTCCTAAGCAGGGGTTGAGCCGTTTATCTCCTGCTGCCATTTTGAGTTGAGTTGTTTGCCTCCTGTTCCTGAGTTGAGTTGTTTCGCTCCAGAGTTGAGATGTTTGCCTCCTGCTTCTAGTTGAGTTGTTTGTCTCGTGTCTGCTGAGTTGTCTCTTGCTGTTGAGTTGAGTTGTTTCTCGCCAGCTTTCAAGTTGAGTTGAGTTGTTTCTCTCCTGCTGCTGAGTTGAGATGTTTGCCTCCTGTTGCTGAGTTGAGTTGTTTCTATCCTGTTGCTGAGTTGAGTTGTTTGCTTCCTGTTGGTGAGTTGAGTTGCTTCACTCCTGCTTAAAAGTTGAGTTGAGCTGTTTGCCTCAAGTTGCTGAGTTGAGTTGAGTTGTTTCTCTCTTGCTGCCAAGTTGACTTGAGTTGTTTGCCTCCTGCTGCAAAGTTGAGTTGAGTTGTTTGTCTCATGCTGTTGAGTTGAGTTGTTTGCCTCCTGTTGCTGAGTTGAGTTGTTTCTCTCCTGCTGCAGAGTTGAGTTGTTTTCATTCTGCTGCCAAGTTGAGTTGAGTTGTTTGCCTCGTGCTTCTAAGCTGTGTTGAGTCGTTTATCTCCTGCTGCCAAGTTGAGTTGTTTGCCTCCTGTTGCTGAGTTGAGTTGTGTTGTTTCTCTCCTGAGTTTAGTTGTTTGCCTCCTGCTGCTCAGTTGAGTTGTTTTTCTCCTGCTTCCAAGTTCGGTGGAGTTGTTTTCCTCCTGTTAATGAGTTGAGTTGTTTCTCTCCTGCTGCTGAGTGGAGTTGAGTTCTTTGTCTCCTACTGCCTAGTAGAGTGGAGTTGTTTGTCTCTTGCTGCTGAGTTGTGTTGAGTCTTTTCTCTCCTGCTTTTAAGTTGAGTTGAGTTGTTTGCCTCCTGGTACTGAGTTGAGTTGTTTCTCTCCTGAGTTTAGTTGTTTTTCTCCTGTTGCTCAGTTGAGTTGTTTTCCTCCCTTTAATGAGTTGAGTTGTTTCTCTTCTGCTGCTGAGTGGAGTTGAGTTGTTTCTCTCCTGCTGCCTAGTAGAGTTGAGTTGTTTGTCTCTTGCTGCTGAGTTGAGTTAAGCTGTTTCTCTCCTGCTTTCAAGTTGAGTTGAGTTGTTTGCCTCTTGTTGCTTGGTTGAGTTGAGTTATATTGTCTCCTGTTGCTGAGTTGAATTGAAAGTCTGATTTGCATTGCTTTTAAAGCTTACATTTTTCTTTTTAATAGGGATCTATACAATGGATTTTCGAATCGGATTCTGTACGTAAGGTTTCATTTAAAGTGCTTATTGCAAAAAATAAGGAGATAAAAAATGCTTATAAGTGCGAGACAATTGAGGACCTGGATGATATTGATACAATAGAACAATCGTTACACTGACTGATTCGCTGGTAAAGATTCGAAAAAGACTTTCAGAGACTTTCAAAGAACTGTTGATGGGCGGTATACAAAAGAAAAGCTAGTATAAATTTGAAAAAAGACTTTTAAAGAACAGTTGATCAAACGTATGCAATATAAAAACTAGTAAAGGTTCGAATAATACATCTGAAAGATAGTAAATGAGCAGGATAGAATTAAAGCGCAAGTAAAAATTCGGAAAACACTTTCAAAGACAGTTTATGAGTCCCTCAATGGCCCAAAATTATTTATTATTAATAAATGTGTAAAAAAAGCCTAAAAATGATTGACGCATTTGAATTGTTATTTGTAACAGAAATAGCTCCTGTTAAAATAAGTAACCTGTTTAAATAAATAATTTACTAAGCCTTATTTCTCATTTTTTTTCTGATTTACTTTTTAGATAAGTGTGATAAAAAAAACTACAGTTCATTGTTTGTCGTTTTCCTTCATTTGTGTGTGCGAGTAAGAATCGTTGTGAACGTGTGTGTGAGCGAGTGTGTGAATTTTAATATTTTTATTTAATTTAAACAAATAGTATGGTAAACCACTGAATAATAATATCAATAAATGGAAATATTATCAAAATACAATTATCAATAGCCATATAATTATATGTTCAAATTTCAAGATAAGAGCGTGAATGATTCAAAAGCATTCACGTTTAAAAATTTCAACTGGTTCAGAGAATACCATTAAAAAAATCAGAGCATGATTTGTCAAATAAGTATAATATTTAATTGACATAGAATGAGTAAAATAATAATCCCCCCAGAGAAGCCTTCCGTAACACTCATCAAATTTTGTTCACAAGATTTCACCAATAAGCATGATCCACTGAAGTTCACTCACTATCACCACAGCTCGCTTTAATCAAAAAGTAAGTGTCGCCATCATTCACCAACATGAACTTTTGGAAATGTAGAATCGCTATCACTTTGACACCATGAAACCAAAAATATCGAACAGGTTTTTAGAAGCATGGATTTCTCGAAAAGGTGGAGCAAACGAAACACCTTTTTACTTTCTTAGTGTTTTCTCCATAGTCGCTCCATTCCAAAAGTAAACACGACAGTTACAAAAGGGGACTGAACCAATTTTCTTCGCTAAGATGAGTCACAAACTAACGCCGAAAGTGATAGAGAAATTGTGGCAGATTATGCTTTCCATTTCTGAGTAGAAGGGTAAAATGTCGCCAGCCAGGGTGAAGGTTCATCCAAATCCAATTAATTTCGCAGCATTGGAAATAAAATGCTCAGCATTCTCTTCTAGTTTGAAGTTTTGACATTTCACTGTGAAGTCCAATTTCGATCCGTTCGTTAGTAGGCTCAAATCTTCCAACAAGTGTGTTCTTTCAGTTAATTTTTTTTAATGTTTTGAAGAAGGATTTATTATTATCTTGCGCCCGTTTCATCAGGTCTTAACACCCTGCTCGGCTTGTAAAATGATGCAGTCGGACCGAGCTGGAAAACAGACATTGGATTTTAATGAAAGCAAAGCAAATTTTATTTGGTCATTCTTTGATGAGCGGCGAACGAAAAGTGTGTCATTCACTCCCCCAATAAACTTCAATACTGTTGACTGACAAAATATTTTAGTTTCTATCAAACAAAAAGCAACTTAAATAAAAAAAACATGTGTAACTGAAATTCGACGAATTAAATTAAGCAATTTAATTTTTTGTGTAGACTATATTTGAGGGTGCCCCTTAATTCTCGCCAAGTTGTGATCGCGGTTAATCGCCAAGCTTTGCGATGTTGAAACCCAATTAGGATTCTGATTGGCATAGATTTTAACGTTAGTTTTAAATGTTCAATGGTATATGTAATTTCAGAGGTCCGTTAGTTCTACGTTGGATACCGGCTGGTAAGGTTAGTCTTGCTTCTGGTCAATAAGATCGAAGGTATGTGGGCAGTCATAAAAAGGGACTTTAGAAAAAATTGTCACTTCCAGTCCGGTACCACAGACGCCTTTTTCGATTCGTATTTCGCCGAATTTATGTGGTGATGAAGGTACACATGATAAATGTCTATTCTATTCGTGATAAATTTAGACAGTATCTAACTGCCATTAGAGAATTCTGTGCACCTAAATCTGGGAGTTGTGAAGTGAGTTGTTTTTTTCCTTTTCTTTCTGTGCTTACTCCATTAATTTTTGTTTCAATTCAAAATTTTATTTATAGGGTTTATTAATTTTGCTTATATTGGGTTCACTGCAGTTTTATAAAGTTTTGGCCGATGTTTTGTTGAAATTTTCCAATGTTTTATTGAAATTACATTATGTTTTGCAGATATTCCTGTTAGCACGGTGTTCCACGCAAACAGGAATGGCGCCAAACATAAGTCGCCAATTTCGCCAAGAGGCACCCTCAAGTACATTTATACCAATTTTTTGTCATACTGATTACTAATCAAAACACAAATATAAAGTGAAATAATTGTGTTACTAATGATCAATAAACATTTTTGTCAGAATTGTTTTAAAAAAATAAGGTGAAAACAATAAAATTAAAAACTATTTACAATAGATCTCTGAATATTCTCAAAACCTAACTATGTACATTTTTCATTGATTTTTTTTTACATCATTTTGTGTACGAATAATTTGCACTTTTATGCATTATTTAAGAAATATCTCAAACAAATATGAACTGTTAGTTAATATTTCTGACTGAACAATTTTTTAAAAGTTAGTAAAAAACAATTAAAAGTAAGTAAAAGATATGTAACAAATATAAGAGTATTTTAAAGTAAACTCTGATCTATATATTTCACGCATTCGATACAAATAAAAATCGCAACAAGCTTTAGCTGGTAAGTTTAGTTGCAACATTTCTGCAGGCAGCATTATTAAAAATTATTACCTTTTCACACACATGCGTTCTCAATTTTGGTTGGCTGTTTTGTGCCTTACTAAACAGAAGTCTTCTGTGATTGGCTATGTGTTATCATTCCACTCTCTTCTTATATTATATAAAGATATAAAGAAGAGGGTTTAGTAGCTGCACAAAAACTAAGATTATTGCATGACTATTCCATTTTTTCTATCTAAATCTTCTCCCGCTTATTATTATTCATGTTATTTATTTATTCTTCTTCTTTACTTAGTTTGGTTTGGTTTTGGTTTTGTTATACTTAGTTTAGCTTAGTTGGGATTCATCAAAGATAAACTGTATCTTTTAAAAAGAGAAGGAGATCTTAAATATCTTAAACTTTATAATCGTCTGTTTCAAGAAGCTTGTTGGGTATTTTTGTTTCATGTAGGGGAAAGTTGGATAAAACGGGATAGTCGAACAAAACGGGCTACGTCGCCTAGGGACCAGACTATTACAGCTATTTAGTGGACAACGACAGAAGCGTGTTATTCGACCGTGATTATATTATTCTCGGTGCGTCCCGTCTCGAGATCACTATTCGATAGAAAGTTGTAGGTCTCAGAACTTTTTTATTCTATTTTCTACATTTACGTACGTTGTTTTTTACATTGTACTGCCTCTATATATGGGAATAAAATTCCAGTGAATATTAAATTTGATTAACCATTTATTTACCAATACTTTTATGTGCAGTCTATCTAATTTTCTTTGCACATTTAGGCAGCAGCCATGTTTGTTTCAAAAAGGGTCGGAGTCGGACAAAAGGGGACACTTATGAGTTGGACAAAACGGGATAGAGTTTTTTATGTCCCGTTTTATCCACCTATTTATTTGTTGGATTATTACATTTTAAAATAGTTATATATTAATGTAGGCCTAGGCTTTTTGAACAGATTATTTATATTAGCTATATATATTTTTGAAAAATTTAGTCTCTTTAGTAATGCAAAATTTGTTTATTAACGTTCATTGTTAAGCATTTTATTTTTGACTCTAGAATTTCACATCTTCTTTAGAACTAATTGTAATGTATTTCTCTGATGAAGACTTGAGCTCTTTTATATATAAACTTCTTAATTTTCTGGATTGCTAAATTCAATCTGCATTCAATTCTTAAATGAATTCTTCTCTTTGTAACTGAAGAATTTAAATGCTTGGTTATTAAAGAGTCTTTCAGGGATGTTACGACATCAATGGAGTGAATTAGAAATAAAAGTGAATTAGAAATGGAAGAAAAGGAAAGGATTATTAAACTACAAAAAAAAAGAACCAAGAGAATTGAAGGAAAGGCTGCTAAGAAATCTCTATTAAGAGCACAAGGCACATCTCGACAACGAAAAAATGTGAAAATAAGCCTTCATGTTTGAAAACTTATAGTCTTTAGAAACAAATGTAGCATCATATTTTTTGTGTACTTACTTATAAAACAACAATCTATATAAAAGTGTTAGAACAGTAAAATACCATGAATATAATTTATAGAAATTTTGCTTTGCAGTTCTCTGTCAGTTAATTATGCTTTTCACTTAGTTTTATGCAAAAAATTAAACATTGTAAA